GGGGGCAGTTGTACCCTGTCCTGTGGGGTCACTCACTGTGCATTGGAATTGACCCCAGGGCAGTGAGGAGTTTTTGTTGTCGTTCCATGTTTTTAAGGAGCTACTTCTGGAAGATCTAAAGAATGTAAAACAAATGATCGTTTTTATTGTGCACAAAAATCGCATGGGGCTTATCTTGAGAGGACACCGTTCGGTGATTAGAGCATGACTATATTTCTCTCTCGCTACAAGACCCTGCAATTCTATTAAATAGAAGTCCACTGATTAAATTAAATAGCATCTAAAGTTAGTGAATGAGAAAAGTAATTGGGTTTTATTTCTGAAAGCTGTTGCCTTTCTTAGCTGAGACTTACAGAGATAAGTCAAAAAAAGGATTGCTACTGGGGTCCCATTGCAGACATTCTTCCAAACAAGTGTGTTGAAAGGTGTCTCCGCGATCCCTGGGTGACCTCAGACAGGTTCTCTCAGGAATGCACTTATCAAAGTCTCCTTTGGGTGCCTTCAAACAAAATGTCTAATTAAATCAAAGCAGTGGCTTCCAAGAGGATCTGCTGGGCCCGTTCAATTCAAATCAGAGAGGCCAGCTGTGAGCAGGTGACTGAGGATTCCCAAGGGACAAACCTGATAGACTTTCTGAAAGACACAGGACAATCACAGGGACTTCTTTCAGAATACGTTTTCAGAAAATTGGAAACCTCATTGGTGAGAAAAAGGCTAGGACAGATGCCATAAGGAATTTTTTTTTTTAATCATGACAATGCCCTTGCTCATTCTTGGGAAACTTTGCCCCATCCACTCTACAACCCTCTCTTGCCCCTTCAGACTTCTTTTTGTTTCCCAAAATGTAAAGAATGCTTCAAAGGAACCCAGTGAGAGCCCCGGAAGATGTCCACGCCACCCTCTTCATCTGCTGTCAATCAAAGGGCACAGGACTCCTGGGGGGAAGGGTTAGAGAGATGAAACACCACTCCCAGAAACGTATAGACCTAGATGGAGGATATGTCAAGAACCAAGTGCTTCCTATTTTGATATTTTTTGGTTCAAGGGTGTTTTTTTATGGTTGGGTAGCAACATTTTGGATGGACCCTCAACATTTTAACATTAGTGTATTCTCTGTCTTCTCTTTCACGTGGTGAGGTTGAAGTACCACATTGTGTTGCCCAGGTAGGGACCAACCGGGTGCCCAGATAGTCCCTGGATACAGACTAGCTACTAATGAGAAAGGCTGGTGCTTTGAATCCACCCAGAGGTGCCTCAGCAGAAAAGCCCAGTGATGATCTTTGGAAAGGTCATGGCCGTGAAAACTCTATGAAAGCACCGTTAGTGCTACTCTGACACACATAGGGCCACTGCGAGTCAGAAAAGACTCCGCAGCCAGGGGAATACCTTTGCCTTCTGTTCCTCAAACAATGATGCCTCTCGGACCGAGGTGGGGGTTTTGAAAGCCAAGAAGGGAAAGAGGAGACCAACCTTCCTGCAGGAGTCTGAAGGCAACCCCTGCTCTCAGTGCATTCTGGGCCAGAGAGGAAGTGACCTCTGCTGACCATTCATTGCCTTTTCTTCCAGGTGGAAAGGGGAAAACGTGGCCACGACGGAAGTCGCTGACATCCTAGGACTGATTGATTTTGTCCAAGAAGTGAATGTTTATGGAGTGCCTGTGCCAGGTAGGCACAAAATGAGAGCTATCTCTGCCTCTCCAGGAGAGGACGGTCTTATTGACCCGGGGCACACTTGGTCATTTCTTTCCCCTGTCAACTGGAGAATAAAACAACTCTTGCAGTCACCAGAGAACAAGGAGCTGTGGCTGGTGATGCTCCATTATAAAAGCCAGGTCAGATCATCGGAACCAGGTGCTCCTCTGGGGA